ACATTCCAGTTTCCCTATAAGATACATATGGCATGAGAGTCAATAAATTTATCAGCTCTGCTTTATTGTAAATATTCATTTATTCAATAAATAGGATTTACCAACTATGTCCTAGGCCCTGTGCTAGATTCTGGGCAAACAACAGTGAACAAAGTAGATGTTGTCCCTGCCTTTATTTACAGATTAGTAAAGGAGATAGACTAAAGTAAGTAAATAAATAAATGCATGAAATTACCAGCTGTGGTTAAATGCTGTGACAGGCACAAAGAGAGTGCAACAACAGGGAATAACAGAGCTGGCCTCTCTTGGGCAGTGGCATTTGTGTTGTAAAGGTGCTCTCCTTGTAAAGAGCAAGATTGGGGTGGAGAGAGCATCCCACATGGAGGGACCAGAGACCGGCAGGGAAAGAACTTACCAGTCAAGGAACTGAAACAAATCCCATCTGGGCAGAGCACAGGAGAGGGGAGGAGCTGTGGGACAAGATGAAGTGAGAGAGGCAGGCAGGGGACAGATGACACAGGGATTTAAAGGACATCTCTGTTCCCTTCTCTCTTAGTGAACAGACTGAAATGTCAGGAACTAGGAAGCCTCTAGCAAGAAATATGCTAATAATTGAATCTTTGCCGGTAGAGATGCACTCCTTAAAGTTTGCAAAGTTTACCTGGATATCCGCTACCCTTTAAGAAGTCCTTTAAACCACTATCAATTAACACTTTGGTGAGAATTAGTTTTCTGGACTCTTTTTATTTATTCAACATTTATTGCATGCCGTCTTTGTGCCAGACAACTGTTTGGGGTGCTGTATGTGTTCTGGGTGTTGAGGATTGGCACGCCCCATCTCTCCTCTCATGGAGCCCAGGTATGGTAAAGCGCTATGAGGTAAAATGACAGGGAGCCAATAAAAGTGTGTCACAGGTTCTGGCCTGACCTGAGCAAAGGAAGAAAGCTTCAAGGTAGAAGTAGCACTTAAGCAGGGAAGTGAATGATGCCAGGCTGGTTAACAGGTTGGTGTGGGTATAGAGGGAGAAGGAAGAGGGGTATTCCAGGAAGAAAGGGTCCTATAGGTTCGGCATACTAGAGAAGCTTCAAGAAGTCCAATGCACTACCCCTGGAGTGGGGAGAGTGAAGCAGAGAATGGAGGAAAGGGAACCTGAGGGGTAACTGCAGTGGAGTGCAGGGTTTTGGAGGTGCTGGTAAATGCATTTGGACTCTAGGAACAGAGAAAGTGTTAACAGGTTATAAGCAGATGAGTGATAGGATCAAGTCTGCATTTAAAAAAAACAACAACAAACAATCACAGGCCGGGCGCGGTGACTCACAACTGTAATCCCAGCACTTTGGGAGGCCGAGGTGGGCGGATCCTGTGGTCAGGTGATCGAGACCATCCTGGCTAACACGGTGAAACGCAATCTCTACTAAAAATACAAAAAATTAGCCAGACGTGGTGGCACGTGCCTGTAGTCCCAGCAACTTGGGAGGCTGAAACAGAAGAATTGCTTGAACCCGGGAGGTGGAGGTTGCAGTGAGCTGAGACCATGCCACTGCACTCCAGACTGGGCAACAGAGTGAGTCTCCGTCTCAAAAAAAAATCATTACATATTGATGTGGAGAAGGGGACTGGAGGTAAAGAAGAATGAACTCGAGAGAACATTCAGGAGATGATTACTGACATCTAGGCAAGAGACGATGGTGGCTTAGAAGAGAATGATGGCAGTGGAGATTCCTAATTGCAGAACCTACTTGATTTTTGCATCTATGCTTATTCACAATTCAGGTTAAATATAAAGTATTTAGCAATGGTATTTGGTATTATTCACATATTGGGTATGATTTTTATTCCTTTTCAAGAAGCAGAATTTAATTTTTTATATAAGTGAAGCTAATTTCAACTTCAAGCCCCCCGTTCTTCTGGAAGCTGAACATTTGCTTTTAGTCAATTTGAGGTCTCTCCATTCCTTCCTCAGTATTACAGCTTAATTAGAAGAGGGAGGTCTGTCTGGATCTTGTACAAGGTGGGTGTGGGTGGATACTCTGGTCTCCTTGCTCGTGCATCTACTCTGGAATCCACTGACACACCCTTGGTCCCATGGAGCCTATGATTTACTCAGACATCTGCTGTACCCTTTTTGTCCCATCTTGATACTTTCTCAGGTCCACTGATCCCTACACCATGTCTCAACTATTCTCTAAATGCTTAGAAAATGTCCTACTTCTTCTAAAACAATCTGGCTGTGGGTAACATCTGAGGCTGTCTCAGCCCTGCTACATCAACATGCCAAGTATACCTCTTCTTTCTTCTCTAGAACCCGGCTGGTGTGCAGGACCAATAGTTTCTTACTGGATCTTGGGAATAGATTCAAGAGATATTTAGAAGGAAAAAAAGGATTATCTTTGATGATTCATATATATCAGAGGTGAAGTTTCAGGAATGAGTCCCCCCGGCCTTTTTTTTGTATGGAGAACAGGATGCTATCTTTTAATGAGACAGGAACCTTGGAAGAGGAGCAGATGTAGTGCATGGGCTGGAGTCATGAGGTCACTTTTGAACACAATATGTGTGATATCCAAAAAGAGAGAATGAAGAAGTAGTTGGCATTGAGGGCAGGGATCTGAAGCTTGGACGAGAGGTCTGGGGTTGAGAATACACAGGGTTTTTTGTTTTGTTTTGTTTTGTTTTGTTTTCAGTGTAAAATCGGGGGTAATGGAAGCCATGGGACAGACATCATGGGATTCCCTGGAGAAAGAGAATATAGAACAAAATGAGAAAAGGGATTGAGGAAATATCTCTGAGTAATATTTAAGGATTGCCTAGGAGATGGAAAACCTGCAAAATAATCATGGCGGTAAGAGGAAAACAAGGAGAATGTCATGAAACAAAAGTGACAGAAGTGAGTGCTTCCAGAGCGTAGGAGTGGTTAACAGCGTTAAATACCACCGCCAAGAAGGCAAGTAAGATGAAAACTGAAAGGTATCCTTTGGATTTAGAAGTTACTGGTTATCTCAAAAAAGCAGTTTCAAGGTATGAAAGAGGCAAAAAGCCAAGTTGAAGAGTCTACTTTGAACATGTGGGGCATTCACAGAAACTTCAGAAATCATGCCTTTCTAGGAGAAGTAAACTGGCCCTGTAGTAAAGGTTACTCTAAATTCACTCCAACAAAGCTTAAGAACAAGTTTCCAAAGACTCAAGCTAATGCACAAGTAAATTAGTTGGCTGCTAGAAAAAAGTCTACCACCCCTTAAGACAACAAATTCCAATGCTCAATAAAAAAATTTCAGTATCCAGTAAGAAACTTACAGTATCCAATAAGATATTACTGTATATGAGAAGAAGTAGGAAATTAAGACCTATAACCAGGAGAAAAATTAGTCAATAGAAACAAACCCAGAAATGAAGAGATGATAGAACAGCAGATGAGAGGACAAGGACTTAAAGTTAGTTATTGTAAATATCTTCATGTATTTAAAGGAAAATGAATATAATGAGCAGTGGAAGCTATTAAAAAAATACTACAAGTAATCATATCAAAGTTCTTTTTTCATAAGACTCCCCCTCCAACCAATGCTATAACCAGCCCTCTAGCCTCTTTTCTGTAAAGTATTTTGTTTCATGTAACTTTGTACTTTTGGTTCTCTGTATGCAAGTATTTTAAAATTTTCTTGGGGAACATATCACATATATTCCTAAAGAAAGAATATATATTCTCTTGAAAGGTGCCAGAGAAGTAGGGAGGTGGGTATGATTGTGATTGAACTCCAGATGCCCCTCTGTCCTAAACAGCCACTGTTTGTAGGAAGTTTGAGACTTCCTGGTCTCCTACAGAGCAGCTGGCTGGGGCTCAAGGGACACACCTTGGTGTTTCAGGTCCATCTGTCTGATTGGCCCATCTGACCCTGAGGTGTAATAATCCTGAGCCTCACTGAAGCAGGTTGTCATAACTCCATTTTTCCTCTTTTAAACCCTTCCTTGGGAGCTTTAAGGGCACCTTTTAAGGTACCCTTAAAATTAAAAGAGAAATATATATATATTTTTAAAAGAGAAATATTAATGAAAAGGAAAATATTAAACTTCAAGAACTCATATGAAATATTTGTGAAAATCTTTATCACAGCTAAGTTGGGCTTAAGTCAAATCAAACAATTTAGGATTAAAGGAGAAGGGCTGAGTCTTCTCTCCTTGCTGTGTATCCGCATCAAGGAGGTATAAGTTTTTCCTAAAGATATTCATCCCATTAACATTGACCTCAAAGATGAATTTGCAAATTTGAAATCTCTCATATTGTCAGCTTTTCTAAATATGTTCATATGGTGGAGAACTCATGAGGCTTACATTACTTTAGTCCATGGATCACTTTATAAACACTACTAAGCTTAAATTTTAAAATTATAAATTATTGGACACATTTTTACTTAGAATTGTTAACTGGAAATTCATTTATTTCTGCCCTGTTCCATGCCAGTAAGGGAATTAGAGATCATGTTTTTAGCTACTCCCTGGATGAAGGAAAATAGAAACGTGGGTCTCAGTTGAGTGCACCAAGCTGTCATGCTCATATTTAGTGCCAGCTGGTCACCTGTTGGCAGTGCCAGTACAGAGCCCTAGGACTAAATTCATCCTGCCTTCTACATCCAACATCAATAGACCATCTCTGTCAGAATGTCTATTCCCCGTGCAAACCACTTCATTAAATAGAAAACCTCTCTTTTTAAGTGATGTCTAGTTATCAGCTTGCATTTTAATATCTAACAAATTAAAAACTACGTTAACTTTGAGGCAATATTTTTCCATTCTATGCTGTTTTAAGAGACACCCATCTTCTTGCAACAGAGCACAATTTTGTCTCACAAACACACAGCTGAAAAGGGCAGTGACAAAAATAAGAATACAAAAATGAAACAAGTCACTTCACATATCTTTATTAGTTATCACTTCTATTGGTGCATTTTATGTCACAGATATTTTGTTCCTAAAATCTCATCTTCTTTATTTTTCCTTCACCTACCTTAGTTCTTATTTTATCCTCAGTGGGCATGTCTCCACCATGGAAGGAAGATGAAGAAATAGAAAACTGGTCACCAGGACACTGTAAAAAGCAAATGACACATCATTAGAAACACAGTCATTTAACAGATCAGGCTGAGAATATATCATTAACAACCCAGACAGAAGATCATCATCTTCCATCATCATTTGAAATTAAAAAGTACCTCCAAAGGAATTGTTTACTGCTTCGCCTGCAAAAAGTGCTACAAACAGTAAACCAAAGAGACAAAACAGCCTTTAGTGGATTGTTAGAGCACTTAAGGAGGTGTAAATTGTAATTAGCCATATGCTAGACTTTCACAGTCCAATAAGAAATATGCCTGATGGTACAGCATCTCCCTGGCCCAGTTTTTCAGGTCAAAAGCAGAATGGCTGTTCATTAAGGAATAAGCCACAAAGGAGAGCTACAGAACTATTCCATTCTCTGGCATCCAACACAACAGGTCAGAACTCTTTCTGCACATGTTTGTGATGGCAGTCATGTTGCTGAGTTGCTCTGGATGCCCACCCAGAGTTTCTGCATTCGAAGGTGGGAGGGAAGGCCCTGTTCAGCTCAAGTGGCAACCCTAAAATCATTGTGGGTCACAGGACACATTAATCCTGTTCACAAAGGAATCAGAGTGCAAATGTGTTACAGAGATAATGCTGTTCTATGTTAATATTGACAAAGTGGTTCAGAGCTGGGGACTTATATATCTGAGAGTGGTCTCAGGTACTGGCAGAACAAAACACAAACTTTTGAGAACTTGGTTTCATGTACTTCTCTGTTGACTGTGTGACTTTCGGTATGTCTCTTAACCATCTTTAGCATATTTTTAAACTTCCCATAGCCTTAATTTATCATTTTTATCATATGGGGGTTGGACTTGGTGATTTTTTTAAAAAGCGGCATTCAAAATATATTTGTGTATGAGTGCACATTTTCCTGTACCCTCATATTTCTGAGAAATCCCATCACTTTCATTGGCTTTGCAAAAGGTTCAGGGACTAAGAAAAGATGAAGGAATAATCTTGGCTCTGGCAGATTAACTGTAGGAGTAGAAAATGAAACAGAATATTCAAAGTCTTGTGCTGGAACAAATAACTTTCAGGATTTGATTTGCATTGTTTGGCTGAGAATAAGATGCTTCTTATGCAAATGAAGACTGATAAAGGATGAGTTTATATTGTTTAAAATGCAATATGATCTTTTGGCTCAAAGAGCTGTATGCCAGTAAATTAGGGATTAATTTGGTTCTGAAAATCATGCAAATTCTCTTTGTGAATTTGTGCATTAATGTAACTTTCTACTAAGTGATTTTCACTAGAGGGAGATAAGATTTGGCTACATTCTTAAGGCAGCTAAACACAGGGACAAGAGCCATGAGAATGAAGAAGACTTAATGGATATCATCCTTATAAAAATCTATTTGGTTCACATTGCTATCGGGTTTTTTGGTTTATTATTTTATTATTAATTATGAGACAGAGTCTTGCTTTGTGACTCAGGCTGGAGTGCAGTGGTACGGTCAGGGCTCACTGCAATGTTGACCTCCCTGGCTCAAGAGATCCTCCCACCTCAGCTTTCCAAGTAGCTGGGATTACAGGTGCATGCCACCATGCCCGGCTAATTTTTAAAAATATTTTGTACAGATGAGGTCTCATTATGTTGCCCAGGCTAGTCTTGAATGCCTGGACTCAAATGATCCTTCCACCTTGGCCTCCCAAAGTGTTGAGATTACAGGCGTGAGTCATAAGGCCTGGATATCACATTGCTTATGTTTTTATTTCATGATCAGATAATAGAGCAAGTGTGCAATTTCCACAATCTACAACTTCATTCTCTTTCTCCTTGCCATCACCCCACCCATCCCACCTAGAACTGCTGCCAAGAAGGAAAAGTCTTCACTGGAATGCAAGCTCCACAAGCAAGAATTTTTGTCAGGTTTAACACTGTATCTCTAGAACAGTGCTCAGTACAGAGTAGGTCCTCAGCAACCATGTGTTGAATGCATTCCAATACTGATGATTTTCAGAATGGTTTAGGATTTGTGACCTCTCCTTTCTGAGCCTGAGTAGATTAAGTGTATCAAACTTGATTCTCTGTAATCTACTTAGGTTTCCTATTTTCTAAAAGCAATGGAGAGGGAGAGAGATCATTATGGCAGACGGGAGGCAGAACTAGATGATTCAGATGGACAGAGCAGCGTGCAGAGGCTTGCATTGTGAATTTCAGCTCCAGATCGACTGCAAGAACAAGCCAGCAATCCCGAGAGGACCCACAGACCCTCTGAAGGAAGCTGACTGCTCCTGCAGGACCCAGGAGATACCCCAAATACTCAGCCACAGCAAGACCCCCACAAGGAGAGTCTGAACTCAGACAGGCCTAGCCCTGACCCCACCTGATGGTCCTTCCCTACCCACCCTGGTAGCTGAAGACGAAGGTCATATAATCTTGGGAGTTCTAGGGCCCCACCCACCATCCATTCCTCTCCATACTACCATAGCTGATGCTCTCTGGAGGAGGCCAACCAGCACAAAAATAGAGCATTAAACCACCAAAGCTAAGAACCTTCACGGAGTTCATTGCACCCTCACTGGAACAGGCTCTGGTATCCACGGCTAAGAGACCTAGAGACAGTTTACATCACAGGACTCTGTTCAGAAAACCCCCAGTACCAGCCCAGAGCCAGGTCTCCCTGGGTGGCTAGACACAGAAGAGAGACAACTATCACTGCAGTTTGGCTCACAGGAAGCTACATCCATAGGAAAAGGGGGAGAGTACTACATCAAAGGAACACATCGTGGGACAAAAGAATCTGAACAACAGCCTTCAGCCCTAGACATTCCCTCTGACAGAGCCTACCCAAATGAGAAGGAACCAGAAAACCAACTCTGGTTACAAGGCTCTTTAACACCCCCCAGGAATCATACCAGTTCACCAGCAATGAATCCAAACCAAGAAGAAATCCTTGATTTACCTGAAAAAGAATTCAGGAGGTTAGTTATTAACCTAATTAGGGAGGCAACAGGCAAAGACAAAGCCCAATGCAAGGAAATCCAAAAAATGATACAAGAATTGAAGGGAAAAATATTCAAGGAAAATAGCTTAAAGAAAAAAACAATACAAAATTCAGGGAACATTGGAGACACTTATAGAAATGCAAAATGCTCTGGAAAGTCTCAGCAACAGAATTGAACAAGTAGAAGAAGGAAATTCAGAGTTCGAAGACAAGGTCTTCGAATTAACCCAATCCAACAAAGGCAAATAAAAAAGAATAAGAAAATATGAACAAAGCCTCCAAAAAAAAGTCTGGGATTATGTTAAGTAACCAAACCTAAGCATAATTGGTGTTCCTGAGGAAGAAGAGAATTCTAGAAGCTTGGAAAACATTTTGGGGGAATAATCGAGGAAAACTTCCCCCACCTTGCTAGAGACCTAGACAACCAAATACAAGAAGCATAAAGAACACCAGGGAAATTCGTCACAAAAAGCTCATTGCCTAGGCACATTGTCATCAGGTTATCTAAAATTAAGACGAAGAAAAGAATCGTAAGAGCGGTGAGAGAAGCACCAGGTAACTTATAAAGGAAAATCTATCAGATTAACAGCAGATTTCTCAGCAGAAACCCTATAAGCTAGAAGGGATTGGGGCCCTATCTTCAGCCTCCTCAAACAAAACAATTATCAGCCAAGAATTTTGTATCCAGTGAAACTAAGCATCATATATGAAGGAAAGATATGGTCTTTTTCAGACAAACAATCGGTGAGAGAATTTGACACTACCAAGCCACCACTACAAGAACTGCTAAGGAAGCTCAAAATCTTTAAACAAATCCTGGAAACACATCAAAACAGAAACTCTTTAAAGCATAAATCACACAGGACCTATAAAACAAAAAAACAAGTTAAAAGGCAAAAACATAAAACAAAAAATCCAAGGTACACAGGCAAAAAATAGTACAATGAATGCAATAGTAAGTCACATCTCAATACTAACATTGAATGTAAATGGCCTAAATGCTCCACATAAAAGATACAGAACCTCAGAATGGATAAGAACTCATCAGTCAACTACCTGCTGCCTTCAGGAGACTAAACTAACATATAAGGACTCATATTAACTTAAAGTAAAGAGCAGGGGGAAAGGCATTTCATGCAAATAGACACCAAATGTAAGTGGGGTAGCTATTATTATATCTAACAAAACAAACTTTAAAGCAACAGCAGTTAAAAGAGACAAAGAGAGACATTATATAACAGTAAAAGGCCTTGTCCAAGAGGAAAATACCACAATCCTAAACATACATGTGCCTAACACTGGAGCTACCAAATTTATAAAACAATTACTAATAGACTTAAGAAATGAGATAGACAGCAACATAATAATAGTGTGGGACTTCAGTACTCCACTGACAGCACTTGACAGGTCATCAAGAAAGAAAATCAACAAAGAAACAATGGATTTAAATGATACCTTGGAACAAATGGACTTAATAGATATATACAGAACATCTCATCCAACAACCACAGAATACACATTCTATTCAACAACTCATGGAACTTTCTCCAGGATAGACCATACGATAGGCCATAAGAGTCTCAAAACATTTAAGAAAATTGAAATTATATCAAGCACTCTCTCAGACTACAGTGGAATAAAAAGGGAAATCAACTCCAAAAGGAACCTTCCAAACCATGCAAATACATAGAAATTAAATAACCTGCTTCTGAATGAGCATTGGGTCAAAAACAAAATCAACATGGAAATTAAAAAATTCTTCAAAATGAATGACAGCAGTGACACAACCTATCAAAACCTCTGGGATACAGCAAAGGCGGTGCTAAGAGGAAAGTTTGCAACACCAAATGCCTATATCAAAAAGACTGAAAGAGCACTAACTGACATTCTAAGCTCACACCTCAAGGAACTAAAGAAACAAGAACAAACCAAACCCAAACCCAACAGCAGAAAAAAAAAAAAAAACAAAAATAACGTGATCAGACCAGAACTAAATGAAACTGAAACACACAAAAAAATACAAAAGGTAAATGAAACA